GACAAATTTACGCTTTTGACTTTTTAATGTCGGCTCAATTTATTATTTCTGTTAGTGGACTGTTTTTTTTTTAACTCTAAATATTTAAAATATCTTAAAATTTATATTCATAACAATTTTTTCAATTTAAACAAATTAATATTTATTATTTAATATTAATATTTTTAATCAATATTTTTCATATTTATCTAAATATTTATTTAAAATAAATTTTCTTTCTTTTAAATAACTAATTGAAATAAAAATTTTATTTAAAGATTGGAATAAAAAATTTCTTCAACTGTATGATTATATATATGGAGAAAATGAAAGAATGTTGGAAAACTGACACTTTTAACATAGTTCTGTTATTAAAGTGTAAAAGTGTACTTTATAACTGGAAACATTATAGAATTTAAATGAAAGCAATGAAATTGCATAGAAAAATTACTTCAATAAACGTGCGAATGACTGGAATAAAGTTTCATCAAAGTCAAATAATTTCCGTCTATCCAATTATGAAAGAATTTTTCGTCAGAACAAGAGAGAGAGAGAGAGAGAGAGAGAGAGAGAGAGAATTTAAATGAGTCAAATGGAAAGAACTATATTTAATCTGGTGCAAAAAAATAACGCCATATTTATACAAACTCGGCACCTCATTAATTAAAATTTCAAGTGAACATATGTATAGAGAGTCAAAATCTTTGCGGACAATAATGAATCTATAAGTTTATTGCTTTTAACAGAGGGGTGGGTCAAAAGTGCGTAGTCAACACACACCCCCTGAATAATATATATAATTTCTAGTCTTGGAAAGATCTCTTATATGGAAAATACGACAGGGGACTTGTAAAACATTAATGGTGCGCACATGGATAATTTTCCTCTCTGTCCGTCATACTTAAATATTCTAAACACAATATGACATTTAGAGAGAGAATAGCGTTTCAGGATAACCGCAACCCTTTTCTTCATTATAATCCCTTCACGTTCCACGATTGGTTTTTCCTCATGTCAGTTATAATTTCCTCGTCGTAATCGGGGGATTATCTTGTGAGCCCATATATATATATATATACTATACAGTGAGACCAAGTTGTTTCTATATATTGTATACGAATTTCCAAGGGGGTCTAAAAAGGAAATCCGAGGGGCATACATATATATATGAATATTATACCCCTTGGATTTCGTGCATGCAGGGTCAACAGACCTATATCGAGGTATGTTATAAGACAGATGCAGCGAGGGTTCCCCGTGATGACGTAACAAAACTAATCGAAATTTTAGTGGAAATTCACCGAGGGGAGTGCAAAATGAAATAATTGGAGGAAAGTTTCCTCAAATGGAAGTAATTGGTCGCCTGTGCTATATATATGAGTTTTTCAAATTTATTGGCAGATTAAAGTTTTTCCAATTGGGAACTGGAATTATAGATACTAATCTATATATAGATATACGAAATCATATACGAAATATAAATATAACATTTTTTAAATTGCAAGCAATTAGAAATATATTTTAGGAACTATAATTTTTTCGAATGAAAGTGCCTGAAGTTCTGAAATCATTTTTTTTTTTTTTGCTCTATATCAATTTTTTAAAAATTACTTGGGAACGGTTAAACTTCTATACGCCATCTGGTACCAAAACTGATTGAACATAAATCCGAAACTTTTGTCGGTTAATAAACCTGAATAGTTACATATAGAAAAATAATAATTTTATATTAGATTTTTATTCATATTTTTGTTAATAATTTTAGTGAAAAGTTAATTCGCATATATTCAATGAATATTTAAATCAATTTAAAACTTCATAATTTATTTACACTTTAAAAATATAACATTAGCTTTAAAAAAAACCTGTCATTTTGACTTCATTTATTTTTGTGAATAATGTATTTTTTAATTTTCTCTCACGAATATGTAATAAATTTTCATTTAGAATTCATTGACTTTTAAAAATAAATTTGCATATTAGTTATAATAATTAAATAATGAGGCAATTAAACTATGATTATAAAATGTATCCTATATCCTCTGGGATTATTAATATGGTGGTTGTTATATTACGATTAATATTATTACCTTTTAACCAAGACATTGAATTTTATTAGAATAAGAATAAACTTAATTATATTCAATAATTAAGTATATTATCATTAATTAATTATTAAAATTGTTTTAAATTTATTAGTTTCACACATTTAGGAGCGTTAAATTTTTTTAAATTATTTTTTTCTAATAATATATAAACTTGAAAAGAATATTGAAAACTAATTTATTAAACACGTTAAGACTTTTTTTTTAAAAAAAAGAAAGTGCACAATGATAATAGGTGATATTATATTTTTAATAATTATTAATTAATAATTAATATTAATCACCTTGAGGTTTAAAGTATAATTAATTAAATAGTCCGCTAAACTTTCATTTTTGAAAAAAATACTTTTAAATTATAAAATATAAATTATTACGATTGCCATAAATAAAACTAAAAAATGATATTGTAAATGTGATTTTAATTATCTCTCCCTCTTTTATTTCAATTGCCTTTAAACCACAAACCATCTTGTTTCTTCAGATGAAGTGAAAAAACGTTAAATCTCCTTTAATCTCGAATCTTCCTTACCGCACAAAGCTCAAAAGTAATAATTGAATTTAAACGAACCACTATATTGCATTTATAACCCTCATATTTTTAAGTTAAATAGAAGTAGCTCAAAGCAATATGCGGCCAAAGAGAAATTAAGATGCAATGATGTCAGTCAAAATCCAACAATTAACTTCAATTATAACTGATTATAATGCAGTGCTAAAGTAACAAAATAATCTTTTTCTTTATATAAATATAACTATTATTATTTTCCATTCAACTACAGAGATAAAAAAATTTTAACGATTATTTTTAGTTTATTTATATTTCAAATTTTTATTAGAAAACAAATTTTGTAATAATGATTTATTATTATTTATTCATTTATTATTTATAAAGATTAAATTATTAAAATAAAACATATCAAAAAGTTAGTTAACTACAAATACATATTTAAAAAAAATGTATTGTTTATTATTTATTATTTAAAAATTCCTTTTTTAAAAGTTTTGTTTTTGAATTTAATTTTCCAAATGGAAACTAATGAAAGTCAAAATGATAAAATTTAAACTGCAATTAGAATTTAATGGATTAAATGTCCAACTTTAACGGTGATCAATGACTCAGAACTGCTGGAAAAGCTTACCGGAGAGAAAGAGAGAGAGACTTTGAGGTACTTTGATTGATTGATCAGAGCTCCATCGGTCAATGTTTTTACACAATTTTTATTTAATGGCAATCGATGATAGTTTTTTTTTCAAAAAAATTCGATTGCAGCACGATTAGTTATTTAGTTTGATTTTACTTGTAAAAACAGATAAGAATAAAATACAAAATTAGTTAATTCTGGGAAATAAATTTAATATTAAAAATTTTTCTAATTAAAAAAAAATCAATTATAATTGATGAATACAGGATGCCATTTTTTTAAAAAAGTTGTACTTTTTCTTGATAATGAAAATTTTCCATCAAGTAAAGAAATGACGGATTTCTTCAAAAAGAATAAGAAAAAAAGATGTTGAATGAAAAAAGAGATACAACAAGATAAAGAATCAAAAATAGTTATCTGTAAAGAAGATTTTTTATCAAGCAATATATAAATTGAATCAAATATATATATATATATAAGAGAAAGAAAGCAAGAAAAATATTTTTAGAAGAAAGTTATTTATCATAATAAGAAAAAAGATAATTCTAACAGGCAATGAAATATAATTAAAGATAGTAATAAAAAATAAGTAAAAAAAATCATTTTAAAGAACGAAAACCATTTTTTTCAACTCTCGCAGCTAAAAAATAAATTCACTGCTGAAAAATATGTAAAATAATGGGACGTAACGTTTTTAAAGAAAAAAAAAAATACATTTTTTACCGAGTTTGAAAGACAAGTGCGACGTAAAAGCTATAAAGTTTAAAAAGTGTTACAGCAAGTTCGACAATATTCATTGCTAGTGGATATTTTTTCATTATTTTTTTTTTTTTTTTTTTAAACCAAAAGCTATTCTTTTACACGGTCATCGTTCAAAGTGCTTCGACAGCCCTAAATTATGAGGACTTTCGTATTTTTACCAAAATAAACGTCGCCTCGTTGAGGAGAAAGTAAAAGCAAAGAAATATATATATATACATATATAAGAAAAGAAAAGTGCAAACCCTATATATGAGAACTGTTCGATCGTAAAAAGGGTTATGAATCTTTTTTCGAAGTGACCATTTACAATTTTGTATATATGTATATAGTTGGACATCCATTAAATTTACAAAGTTGTATTTTGTAAAATTTCAGTTGTCACTCCTAAGACAGTCTCGTGATATAAGTTTCATAAAGACCATATTTTTAAATTTATTAACTGTTATTAATGTCAAAAACGGTATGAAGAAAAAATAATAAATCGACCTTATAACTTTTAAAGTTCCTCTTCGCGATGATACTAATCTTTTCTGTTTCTTCTCAAACATATATATAGTTATATCGAGATCAGGAACATCAAATACGAACCTTCTCTTTGAAGAATGGTGTTAAAAAAAAGAAGGCTCTTAAGGACAACAAGTTCTTGCGAAAACAGAAGCCTGTTTCTGGGACTGATTTGTACGGAATTTATCGTGTTATACCCGAATCAAATATATGTTTCATAAATTTGAAAAATTTATTTTCTTAAAATATCAAAATTTTTCCCATCTTTTTTTAATTTGCCTGTTTCAAAATTAATTTCAAATTGCTATGAAATTTTTTACATTTTGAAAATGATTTTTCTTTGAAAGTAATTTTTGATGTTTAAAAAAGTAAAATGCTTTTTTTGATAAATAAAGAATAAATGAAAGTGTTAAATTAAAATAAAGTATAGTAGAAGATAATTTTAAGAGTAGAATAGAATATAAGAAATATATATTTATAGTAAAAAAAAAAGAAAAAACAAACTTACAATTGATAAATTCACGAGAGACACCTGAATGAACTTTTCTTCCATACTGCTTATCAGGAGCTGACCACTTACCTGTAAAAGAAAAGAAAAATAAAGGTTAAAAATAGAGTACAATATTAATGGTGAATTAATTATAAATTATTTTTATAAAAAAATTTTTTTTTTATTATAAATCTATTTTTAATTTCGTTCTTTCATTTGTCCCTATAGTGCTTTAAACAAGAATACGGTATATCCGTTTATCCCTTCAAGTAAAGCTATAATATTAATTTTCTATATCAGTTTTATATCGATTCGTATAAACATATAATATCAGGTCAAAGTTCAATAGTAGTGATTCCATGTGAGGAAATAAAAAAAATTATTTAAAAAATAACAAAAGTTTTTTTTAAAATTATTTACACTGAAATAAAATTATTTTTAAAAAAAGTACAAGAAAGTAAATAAATTAAATTTCAATTAAAAGTAAATTTAAATCTACCTAAATGAAAGTTAAATTAGAACAAAAATAAAATTACATTTCAACAAACTAGAATTTATGATAAACTACATTAAAATTTTATTTAAATGAAAGTCATGCTGGCATGAAACTAGAAAGGAATTTTCTTTTAGCTCTTTTCTAAAAAAAAAAAAAAATTGTTAGCCAAAAATAACATTTTGAATAGAAATAATTGACAAAGTAATAAAAAAAAATTTTATTCTAACTGCAGAAATTTAAAAAAATCACAACTTATAATCTCGAAAAACTTGAAATATAGAATATTACTATAAATAATATATACGTTTTACGAACTTGAAAACAAGAAATATTGATCTCACGCGGGGAATTACGAGCAAATATAAAATTTAAATATTGCCACGTTTATCGTTTTCCTATGACGGCATTTTATGAAATTTCGCGCAGTTATTATCAGAACTTGATAACTCGATAATTCATTTATCAACGATTGGCTGCTGCGGTGTTTTAAACGTTTTCGATTTGACTTTTCCTTGTCTTTGACCTAGTTTCAATTCATATATATCTATAATTATGCGCTCACTTTTCACAAAATTAATTTCGCACTATTTCATTCAATATGCGTTAAAAAAAAAAATTTCATTCTAAATAAATATTTATATTCTTTTTTTTTACGAATATTTAATTTTTACCACACGGGAAAAAATTAATGACTGAACATAAAATTTTATTCTTAAGTCCAGAAAAATAGAAATATATATATCTAAATTAGGCATTGCAATGAGTTGTGTTTAATTTTTTAAAACTTTATATCGAAAAATAAAAAATAAATAAATACTCAATTCCATTCATTGAAGGACTAGTTTAATCCCAGGTGAAACGATTCTACGGAAATCACTCCACGAAAATTCCATACAGAATTCCGCAAAATTTTAAAAGTATTCCTTTCGTAATTTTGCGAATTTTTTTGGAAGAATTCCATACAGAATTGCACAAAATTTTCAATAAAATTCCACAACTTTATTTTTTTGCTGATTTTTTTGTGATTTTAAAATAACTGCTGCTACTATAACGAAAACTAGTCGACGATGATGTTCCTGGTGGATATAATATAGAATTTATGATAGATTAATTAATATCTAGTCGAACTTATTTGAGAGGTCAATAAAACGTTTTCCAAAAGAAATTTACTATTTTTCAGTCAACTAACTAACGGTAGTTGAATTTCTCGACTAATTTTTTTCAGTGTATCCACCAGCAGTTATTTTAAAATTACAAAAAAATCAGTAAAAAATACACTTAATAAAAAACTAGTAGATTTGACTACTTTTTAACTACCCTGCATAGTTCAATAGGTCCTTAACTGAATTTAAAAAGTTGTATGAACTATTAAAAAGTAGTTAAAAGAACTAAGAATTTAGTTGGGTCAAGGAGATTTTGTAATTGTTCTAATTTTTGAAGTTGATTTAACTACTTTTGTTAAGTACAATTAACTACTAATTCTTAACTACATAAAAAATAGTTAAATTGACTACACGCACATAGTTAAAATAACCAAAAAAGTAGTTACTTTTACTACTTTCAAGTCAGTTAACTAAAGGTAGTTGAGGATTTCGGCTAAATTTTTTTCAGTGTACAGTTGTGAAATTCTAACAAAAATTTTGTGCAATTCTGTATAGAGATTATGTGTGTAATGCTTATAAAAAATTCGCAAAATTACAAAAGAACTTCTTTCAAAAATTTTGCGGAAATTTTTGCGGAATTTCCCTGGAGTAGTTTCCGTAGAATCGCGTTTCATCAGGGATTATTTATTTTTAAACTTATGACATTTACATCAGGAAAGAGATGCCTTTGAAGAAAATCTATCATACACGCATATTGCCGTAATAATGTTGTTCGCTTGTATATAAACAATGAATAATGTAGTAATAATGAAATGACAGGGAAACGATAGACGGAAAATTAATTGGTATTTGGATATAAATAAAAAGAAAAAAAAATGGAAATGCTGTATATATAAAGAAGAAAAGAAAAAGATGAAAAATAGAACGTGAAAATTTCATCGTAAAATGCTGTTTCACGAGCTGACAGAAACGTTAATGGCGGCACGATGTTTTCCATCGTTTTTCTCGAGCTACCGGAGCGTTAATTTTCCGATGATTAATTACGACGCGCGAAATCTCTCGCGGATGCTGCATCCATTCTGATGGAACGTTACAGACTCAACTCGTTTCCTATAACTTCCATTTCACCCACACTCTCTTCTTTCTTCCCTTTTCACAAATGTACATTCTCATAATATACATATATATATTTATGAATCAATGGGAAACTATATTTTCATTCAAAATTTTTGTTAAGTCAAATATTAAGTTTTATGATTTCAATTCATTTATGAATTAGAAAATGTTATCAAATTATTAAAAGACAAAAGAAGACAAATTAGAATTTAAATATTAAAAAAATTTATTTTAAAATCAATTTAAAATTTATGTTTAAAAAATCAATCTGATATTCATTTATTATTTATTTAAATTATAGAAAATTGTTTCCAATGAGAAAAAATGAATAATATGTGAATGGCAAAAAAAAAATAAAAAATACAAATTTCTTAAAATTGACCAATAAAGAAGTTTTCTTGGATCATGAAGAGAAAGGAAGTGTGAAGGATATGAAGAAGAGGGGAAGTCAAGCTTTTTTTTGCAAAACATTGTATGCTAATGGGTGAACTGTAGAAATGTAGAATATTCGTGGGCACTTTTCCTGTTAGTCTTCCTGCTCTTGTGCACTTTACCCCACATTTTGACCTCGGTTGAGTGAACCTTCTAGTTAGAATAGGATGCTTAAGAATAAAGGGTTACAATAATTTCTAGAGAGGGTAACATTTTATCTCACCAAGAAATCACTATATATTTCAGTCTTGTAATCGCAAAGTCTTGTTAAAGGAAGTCTTTTGCTTCATTTTTTTTTCTTTTTTTTTTTAAGTAAAAATTCTCATTTAAATGACCGTATAGTGCGTCTTTTTTTTTTGTGTGTGTACCTATATAATTAGTTCAAAAACTGTTAGGTTGTTACTACAAATATACAAGAGATTTTTGAAATTTTAAAAACTTTAAAATCTTATATTTTTGAAGTTTTTTTTATTTTTAGAAATTTTTTTTTTATTTTCAAAAATTGTTATATTAAGAAAAAAAATTTTTACTGTTTTCAAAGTATTTTTCTTTAACTTCCCTTTGTTTTATCTTAAAACTTGTTTTATTTTCCTTAAAACTTCCTTTAAAATTTCTTTAAGTTTCTTTTAAATTTTCTCAAAGCTTATATCTGTTTATATTTCTTTGATCTTCTTTGCTGAATTTTCGTTTCGCGATTTATTCGACTTTTCTAAAAGCTGTTTTTCATATTTTTCAAGTTATTTTTTCTTTTGACAATATTCATTATTTTTTTGCGCTTCTTGATTTTTTTAGAAAGTTTTTCTATTAATATATTTAAACTTTAAATCCTCTTTTAACATATTTTCTATTTTCTTTATAATATAATTGAATTTAATATTTTTCTTTAGACATTTTTTTATTCTCTTTAAAAATTTATTTTCAAGTTCTTTTTATCTTTCTTGCTTTTTTTTTCTTTTTTTTCCAATTTTACTTGAAAATTCTTCTTTATATCATTTAAGCTTCCTTTGATTTACCTTTGAGCTCCTTTTATATATATCATTGAGCTTCGATTATATTACATAAAGCTTTTTTCATTTTCCTTAAAGCTTCATCTCCATAATTTTTCTCTCTTCTTTCTTTGTTTTTTCTTAAAAGGTTTTTTTTTGTCTTTCTCTTAATTATTTTTTTTAACCCTTTCAGGGGCACATTATTCTAAGCATACAAATTTTTGTTTCATTACGTATTTATACGTTTTTTGGGTCGCTGAATACAAATCCGAGGTCAGATTTTGCAAATTTTAAAAATTCAAAATGGCGAATCCAATATGGCGGACATTTTTTTTTTAATTCAATATATTCGCCATATTGGATCCGCCATTTTGAATTTTAAAAAACTGACATCTGATTCGTAATCAGCAACCCCGAAAACCCCCGAGTAACGAGTTTCATACAAATTGCATTATATTTTTAAAAAGTCGTCCGCCATATTGGATCCGCCATTTTGAATTTTGAAAAACTGACCTCAGATTCGTAATCAGGGACCCCAAAAACCCCCGAGTAAAGATTTTCAAAGTCGTAGCACTTCGCGTTTACAAATAGCTGAATTAATTATTAAAAAAATGCATATTTTTCAGATTGATGGAATAATATTAAGTTAACAATAATAAATTATTCATAAACAATATTATAGATTCGTTATATTATATCCTTAGAATCTAAAAATAAGAAATATATGATTATTATTAGATAAATATGCCGGAAATACCAAAAATACAACAACAAAAAAGGTGGGACGTATACGTCCCACTGCCCCTGAAAGGGTTAAACTTCTTAAACTTTTTATTAATTTTATAGCGATTAATATTGTATAATATTGTAATTATGTTATGTAGTGCTTTTAAATTGTCTTTGACCATGAGCTTTATATTCTTTGCAAATAAAACAAAAAAAAATCGCTTTTTAATT